TGGCATATTTCCATTCATCATGGGATTCATATTACCAAATGCGTTTGAGTTGTTGAACATAGGCATATTGTTCATACCCGGGAAATTCATACCCATCATAGGATTCATGCCCATCATTGGATTCATACCTCCCATACCGAATTGGTTCATCATGTTCATGTTTGGCATGCCGTTATTGAAACCATTTGCGTTGCCGTAGAATTGTTGTTGCATGGTATTCATGTTTGGAAACCCATTCATACCGTTCATTGCGTTCATTCCGTTCATCATGTTTTGTTGTGGGTTCATAGCAGATTCTTTTTGACGCATAGCTTTTGGTCCTTTGGGAATTTTTGGATTCTCGAGTAATTCATCTGCAGGTCGCTTTTTACCCTGAGGTCCTGACGGAGCACCAGGAACACTAACAACTGGGGTAACTGATTTTCCTTGTTTAGGACTATTCTTCAAGACCTTTGAGACTTCTGGTGACTTTGATTTAGGTGATTGCTTTGGTGTTGGCGATTTGGCTTTTCCTGCCATTATTGATGCTTTAGATTGGGGGGGCGTTTTGGTGGCCTCAGACTTTACGCTAGGACTTTTAGCTCTTTGGTCTTCTTTTTCTTTCTTAGCGGCTGCATCTTTCTCTGCCAAATAAGTCTTGATCTTTTCGGTCATCTCATCATCAGGCTTCAGATCATCAATCAATACTCCATCAGTCTGACATCCTGGGCATGTGAAATCGCTTTCGATAAGAGCATTAGTAATGCAGTCATTGCAATACGTCTTCTCACAACAGGGCGTCTTCATTGGATCTATGAATATTCTCATGTCGAGCGCGCATTCCAATCCTCTATCTCTCAAAACTTTATCTCCTAAAGCAGCAGCTTTCTGGGCAGCAGCAGATGACTTGGTCTTAGCCTGAAATTGTTCCCATGAAGCTTTATCAGGCTCAGCAACGACAAATTCTCCTTCAGCATTTACCATCACACCAGATGGGGTCTTTGTATCATCCACCGTACCATCATTGGTTAACTGAACTGGCTTCTCTACAGTCTTCAAAAAAGATCTTGGAATACCAGTTGTACGCTTAATCCGAGCCTTGTTATCGAAATTTGGATCATCATTCGTAGGGCAGACCTGAATCCAATGACCTTTCTCTCCACATCGATAACAGATATAACCAGTTGGTGGTTCATGATCTGGAACATTTGGTGGGGGTTGACCTTTCTTACCACCTGGCCGGAAGACTGGGGTTTGACTATAGATTTGTTAGAATAGATTTCTAGATCGGAAAGGAGAAATTAACTTACTTGGCCATATCTTCTTGTTGTGCCGTCCATTGATCACTTTGAGCCTGAAACATGGCTTCCATCTTCTCCTCCTCAGTCATCGCACTATTCATTTGTGCCAACCCTTGTGTAGATGCAACGGCCTTTGCATTTGCCTGCTTTCCTTGTTCTTTTCGCGACGAATTCTTTTGTTTTATCGGCATTTGTCCCGACATGTATCTGGCAGCTCTTCCTGCTCCCGGCTTGATGGAAGGTAATCGACGAGCGATGATCGAAGTTGATCGTGGGATAACGGTAGTATCGTCATCATATTCTATGATGGTCAGCATCAGAATCGATATCTAGTTTGAAATATAACAAATGCTTACCTTCGTTGTCTGCTTCATTGTAAATTTGAAGATCGAAATCGGTTCCGTCACCTAATCCACTCTTGATAATGATATCACGCTTGAGTTCAAATACGGAGATACCAGTACCATCAAATTCAACTCTAGAGGGTTCCTTTTGGGATCTGAACTTGAAGAACACGGAGGACGTCATGACTGCTGTTGGTTAAGTTGATCAAAAGTTGGAGTTGTAAAGGAAGTTGTTGATCCTCGAGCTGAATAAATCGATTTCGTTGGCGTGTACAGAGAAACAAACTACTCTTCCAATGCACTCAATAAGATCAAGTAAACTCTTGGGGATAAGTTAATATGATGGAATATGGAAGGGTAGAAGGGATAGTTCGTGAATGCGACCGGTGCAATATCAAGATTCTTCTCTCCGTTCAAGAAAATGAAGTGAAATCAAGTATGATTGCGATCACTGGAGATAACTCTGGTGACACAGAAAAAGCTCTCTCAAAAGGAAATGATTGTACAAGATTGCAGATAATACTGCTATTGTGATGTTTCTTTCTTTCTTTGAAAACTGCCGCTTTCCTCCACAAGACCAAACACAATTTTGCACCACCAAGATGATCCACTCTTCTTTCTCTCTTCTTTGTATTATTCTTTTTCTTTTCCCTCCAAATCAATTGTTTTCCTTTTCCTTAAGTTCTTTTCCGACAGTGCAAGTATCTTTTCCAATTGTACAAATTCTTTTGATGCGAAAACCTGGTCGTAAAGACGTGAAGTTGTGGTTGTGTTGATGTCGAAAAGAACGTTGATGAAGATGGAGATGTGAGAGAAAGAAGGACTTTTGGGGCGAAGTTGACAAACTCTTTAAACTCTTTGTTGTACGGAGAACTGCTAATAAGCCTGAACGCTTAATTATCGGAAGGCACAGTAGCTGTGAGACGCTAGTACGAATACGGCTTACCTCAGCTCACCTGGGCAGATAAAAATCATGCTGATAGGATCTGTTGACACGTGATCAAGATAAGTACTGTACTGCACGGTCCTCCAGTCCTCCACTCCACTTCACTTCCTCGGTTTCGGCATTCACAATTTGAATTGATGGAATGGGTAAGCGTGGATGAGAGAGAATGATTGATTCATTCCTCCTTGAAAGTCTTCAGCAACCGTGGATGAAACATATCTGCCATTTTCTGAATGAGTTGAAAATGTTCATCATCATTTGTATCTCTGAATGCCAAGACCCTCTTCAAAAGATATACGTCGTATTTGGCAACAGGAGAACAAATATACACCAGCACAGACAAAGTATTTCGTTTGGTCACATCCCCATTCATTATCATTTGGCATCGTCTTGTTTGAGTATATTCAAGATGTCTAGTTATTTAGCAGAGTTAAACATACCCCATGCTATCGGAGGATGTATCAAGATGATATATATCGACGTTTACTTCTGTCTCTGCTCTTTCCAGAGTGCAACTCAAATATTTGCATGTCTATTGCCAATGAAGCAAGTACTTTATATAGGTAGAGTTTCTCAGAAGAGAAATTCAGGGAAATCTGCGCGAGCTCTGACAAGTTGATGTGCATTGTTCTCCGTTTGCTTTTCTCCCATGACGATAATTCCCGAATATGGTTCTACGAGACTGGCGAGAATGATGCTCCTCAATGGTTTTCTACCTTTCATGGTAGGAATGAGTTATCAATTTTCTTGAGAGGTATCATCATCTCGTCAAGCTGAGAGCCGAAAGTGAAGGCTGTCTCGCACTAGAGCTAGTTAATTGTCGACAAGCTTTCTGCAACTCCCCTTTTCTCTCCAAGGACAATCCAAAATATGGAATCGATTGCTATTGCGGAACAGCAAACATCAACTTCTGCATATAATTTCAGCCAAACCAGCAACACTATTCGACTAAACTTCCTTCCAGATAACATCACGTAAATCGATAGTCTCGCCGACTTTCGCTCGCCACCGACCACCTGCTACACTCCACCGATGAAACCTCATCAATCTAAGAACAAGTTCATAGCTTTCAGTTGAGATGGTTCCATCCTCAAAGTAAGAGGCTGGTTTTAAAATCTCAGGGTAGATTCTAACCAGCTCTCCCAGGCTCGCTAAGGACGTATATCTTCACCTCACTCTCTCACCTCTCTGAGCTGTTATCTTTCAATCCTCATTCCATCCTTTTACGAATTCCAATTCTGTTGTTCTTCCATTCAATGGTACCAGAAACCGCTTCTCGCATAGTTCTCATCCTCTCGGTGCTTTAGTCTCTACAAAGCTGGTGCGCTCAATCTTGTGATTTTGGTTAGCAAACCATACCTGTATCCCTCGGGCGGCTCTAGATTTAAGTGCACAAAACTTTGCCATTTCTTTCCCTAAGATGGATCTACTATCATCAATGCAAAATTGAATCTACTCGGCGATCTCGCATCCGCAAAAGTGTTGTATAGTTTGATAGTCGCATACTTCCCGGTATGGGAAACGTTACTTGGGAGGTATTTGCAACGGAAAGCCGAGACTTTTTGTAAGGTGTCGATGGACGACTTGCTTTCAGAAGTCTAGCTGGAGGATGTCATTTTCGAAACTCGATCTTACGAACTCGTCACCTCCGCTACTGATGGTCCTGTCTTTCAATAGGGAAGTCAACCAAACCCAATATCGCACTTAGGAGCTTTGGTTGCCCTTGAATTCAATCGTGTAAGAGGTGAAATTAATGCTCAATATCGGCTCACGCTTTCACAGTATTTCTCAAATAATAAAGACGACTGGGAGTCACAGTGGTCTGGAAGCAAAAGCTTGACAGTCATTCTGCACCAAACTATAAAGGTCCTGCTATGGGGTCGTGTCCGGATTCGAATCACAATATTTCTCAAACTCACCACTGTGTTCTGCCAGTTCGAACCGAAATTGCATGCCAAAACACGCCTGGTGGGAAAGGTCTTCTTTCGTTGCTATTTGAAATCCATTAATGTTAAATTTGGCTTCACTACATCCGTCTTCTTACTGGGAACAATCAAACATATCAACGCTTCAGTGCCTTACAGACTCCCGTTCTTGATCCTTTCAGCGTCTGCTCTCAGAAAGAATCAAAATCGCAATGTAGAACAAATACTAGTCGACGAAATATGATTTTCAAAAATCAGGCACTTGATACTATTTTCAGGCTTCAAACTAATCTTCTGCATGGTTGGGGTCATGCTCTTATATACATTATTCCTCAAAAGGAGCAGCAACATCCATTGGTCAACGGCTGCTCTCCTCACGTTGTACCCCTTTGAACAGATTTCATCTGGAGGCTATACAATTGGACTTGTCACAGAACCATTCGGTGCATCCCGAAGAATCATGACCTGAAGTGTCAGGCGGAGAATGAGCGATCGTCTCCCAGAATTATTCTGCTTCCCTCAGCCCTCCTGTGGTGAGGATAGCTGAGTAAGCTTCATCCGGCAACCTAGAATTTTAATGAGTATTTGGACCAGATGAATTTGTGGAATAGGGAACTCACCTTTGGGTTTCGAGCTTTGTCTTCTCCTCTCGCCGACCAAACGAAAAAATCGGGCCCTTGGGCCAAGGGTGCGTAGCGTGAACGTCCTCAGTTACCTTGCCCGTCGTAGAGGTAAAGCAAGCCAGCAAGATCTGGAGTTGCAACTAAAGCACTCGAGCAAACCCCATGCTTGTTGACGATTTCGGAGATGCTTGCCTTTTGGATGCGTTTTTCGGCTTCGCTAAGCTCTTCTTCCGAAGAAAAGGAAGGAAGTAGGTCCATGCTCAATGTGGGATGTTGTAGCGAGGAACGAGCGAAGTGTGAGTGGCTTTGTGTCTCCGAGAACCCGTGAAGAATATTCACAGATTACTTGGGTGTCGGAGACGAAGACGGTGGGAGCGGCAAGGAGGTATCGAGAGTCGGTGTTGTTGGCAATGCCATGCCGAATATAACGCGCGGAGAGGTGTCTGTTGCCTTTCCATAGAGGGAGCTTATGGTGTGTCAGCCACACTGGTCCGAGTTCTCATGACGTTTGCCATCTAGCTATCTTGATGACAGCTCTTGGAGTAGGTAGCCCCGCCTCTTCGTGTCTAGCCTGCTTCAATGCTGACTGGCTATATCGCTCTCCATTCTTAAAAGTGGCCATGTAAAGCTCTATCACCTTCTCTCGGCGGCAATTTCAGTAAACTCCAATTGACACAAATCTCGGTACCTCGAAATCCTTTCACTCCAATGTGAAAAGAATTGGCCGGATAATTAGCCGGGTTTACCGGTCGATTCTCTCGGGTAGTTCCTCCCATAAGCTTACATATCCCCAGATTGCCTCCTGTCGCATCATTAAATTTATCTTCGCCAAGCTTCCAATGAAGCTTTTGAGGAATACTAGAACGTACGGAGAAGCTTTGATCATCTCCAACTCCTCAGAATTTGACCTAGAGAGTTGGAATCTTGTCGCAACATCATATTCATCTTCTCCAAGGTTTGAGGGTGGGAGAGGGGAGAGGAAAGGGCTCCCTTCCCCATTTCCAAAGCCAGGAAGATAAAGTCCCAAACATCTTGCCTTCTTCTTCTTACTTTGCTTTTGAGGAATACTGGAACGAACAGAGAGATGTTTCTCTCTTGAACTCTGTCGAATTCCGAAGAGATGATTTTGAGATCATCTCCGTCTTGGAGATGACGATCCAGAATGCCAATGTATCTTCCAAAGACTTGTGGTAACTATCCCATCTTAAGACATGGATGTCGCCGTACTGTTCCAAAGCTACTTTCATTATCATTAGCCAGAATCTACTACGATAAGGTCTATTGCCAAGTTCACTTACCTCAAAAGAAATGAGCACCCGCTGGTATCTGCATCAAATACCCAGCATATTCCTGGTTACTCCGAGGAGCATGCCTGTTCGAGCGTCATTTCAACCTTCAAGCTTAGTTTGGTATTGCTGCATCCTAGAGCTCGTCACTCTCCTTTTCCTGGTATTTGTCAGCTATATCCTGAAAAAAAGTCAAGAAAAATTTGTACACGAAAGATACGAACCTCAAAAACACATATCAAGAAGCCACGCCAAAGCGGCTAGAGTGAACGGAATATATTGCTATATAAAGTAAAGCTACCGCAACACATTAAACATGATCATAATCTCAAACCCCGCCAATCTTTGTACCTTCTCCATCTTCAATCCCTCCACCGTTACCCTCCCAATCCCACGCGGCCATCGACAAATGATGCAAGACCTCGTTCAATCTCGTACCGCCTTGAACCCCCCTCCAATATCAAACATACAAAATGGCACACGATGAAGGCGATATTGAACGATCCAGCAATTGCATGCCAGATTTCTGAAAATTCAAATGCTTCATTTCTTATTATTTAGCAGAGAGCGCCGCTCCAATGCTAATCGTTCGTCTTGCTTTCTGGCAGCAAGTCGCCAGAAAGCCGGACAACTGTTTAGGCATTCAAATGTTCCTTCTGGACACTTGCGAAGATCTATATATCACATAGAATCAGCGGTGAAGATAAGAAGGCTGTTTGTTGGCAAGAACTTACGATTTCATGCTCGCGCTCGGATTTCCTCCGACCTGCACTTGCCAGACCTACCCCCTTTCCCTTCCTCCCCTCCTGCGTGGTCGTCTAGACGTTGGTCTAGGGTTGCTGACGGGCTGGGGCCAGTATTTTACTGCCCATAGCACTGGGCGCAGGGAAATAGGGCCGAGCAATTGCTGAGGCATTCAAATGTTCCTTCTGGACAATCCAGCAATTGGATTTTAGTTTGCTAAAGAATCCAATGCTCCTTCTGGTGGGCAGAGAGCGTCGCACCAAGTGCGGTTCTGCCAAACGACGCTCTAGTGCTTATCTTTCGTCTTGTTTCCTGGCAGCAAGTTGCCAGGAAACCGGACAATTGTCGAGGCATTCAAATGTTCCTTCTGGACAATCTTAGCAGATTGTGAATTATCGTGAAATTCCTGAACCGGAAAGTAAACATGGCGAATCTTGGAGAATCCCTGCAGCATCTGCTCTTCAATTTCCCCCTCAAACTTATTTTTCCAGTCCATGCACTCCTGTCTATTGACAATGCATGCACCAGCTCCAATGTCCTCGATTAGACGTCCATAAGGAACGGAACAGCTTCAAACCTCGTATTACCGACTACAATAGTCATAGGAACTAGCTTTGGATGGTGAAGGCCACGCCACCGACACCGAAACCAGTGAAATTAAATCTATTGATTGGTGCTATCCAGGAGCGTCGGAAACCGCGGCGCTTGGAGCTCAAAGATGTGGAGGCGATGTAGGCGGGGGATGTATCGGGAGGAGGATCGGTTTCGATTGTAGTTGGTTCGACTGGGTGTGAGAGCCCATAATCGAGCGGGGGCGTCTGATCTCGCACCCGTTAGGGGGCATTCAAATGTTCCTTCAGGACAACTCGAGCATGGCCTGGAAATTGTCATGAAATTCTTGCATAGGGAGTCGTGACACCCAAAATCGAGGGGTCGTGCTCGATTTTGCACACCCAGGAATATGGAGGCTTTCAAATGTTCTTTCTGGACAACTCGAGCATGGCTTGGAAATTGTCGTGAAATTCTTGCATAGGAAGGCAAATGTGGCGAATTCTAGAGAATGTCTCCATCGCACCAATGAAATGGAATGGTGGTGGCTCTTCGCCCCGAGAATTTAGATGCTTTCAAATGTTCCTTCTGGACAGTGGCTTGGAAATTGTCGAGGAATTTCCGAACTGGCAGGCAAATGTTGCGGATCGTCAAGAAACTCTCCACAGAACTTGAGAGCCCCAACAAAGTCGAGGGTTAGTGCTTGGTTTTGCACCTCAGCAATGAGGATAGGACCAATGCTAGTGGATGGTGCTTGCTGATGTTTTCTTCAAAAATTAAGATAACAGTGTTGCTTTCAGCTCAGAGGAACCGGTTTCAACTGGCCAGAAAGAGCTAAGACTTGCAATTTGGCTGCAGGAGGAGCTCAAATCTTGAACTTCCATAGAATGGTGCTTGGGTTCAATCATCATGAGAAAGAAGATGGTTGATGAGGAAAGCTGTTAGATCTTGACTGAGATCCCTCGTTATGAAACCAAGTAGCGGAATAGAGCTGGTAGATTTTCATTAGCACGAGTTCAAAATCCAGGACATAAAATGATGATTTACCTCTCAACATCCTATCAGACATCCTAAGACGAGAACTTATCACCACAGACACCACTATCTACGTGCAAAGAGAATTAGCATAAATCGACTAGTAATAAGGACAAAGAAACTTACCAATACCAAAAGACAACCATCCCAATCTCCACGCATGATGAATATCACTCAAATCATATGAAGACGCACGCCGAAGCGGCTACGGGAAACCTCATTTCATTTCCTATGACTGTCTATATACAATATCTGCAGTAGCAGTAACGACACATTTCCACCACAATTGTTTCAGCCGCCCGGGACTTCCACCGCTGGTAGAGGTATGAGAGGTCTAGCCCCCACTTCTCACCATCAGTTCTTGAGTCTTTCTTAAAAAGTCGAAAGAAACCTCCCGTCTTCTCGTTCTCTCTACAGGCTAGAGTTGGCGATATAGCCTCCTCGTCACCTTTCTCCATTGCCATGTCGAGCTGAAAATATGTTAGTACCAACTAACAAGAGAAATGGGTGATGATGATGTGAGGTCCTAATACGTACATTGAATCACCACCAGAAGGGTGCATCATCGACTGATCTTGGTGTCGGACGAATCGGGGGAGCGGTGCACTCCGGTCTTCCGAGAAGGTCCACAGGACTCTTTCAATGACCGAGGCCAAGAGGAATTGCCACTGAAGTGGTCTTTTATTCAATAAAGGACTTCAGAGGAAGTTTGGAGTGATGGATCCGACTACTATTTCGTCAGCACAAATCCGTTTAAAGTACTCTAGCATGGGAATGAACTTGGAACTGGAAAACTTACAGACAGTTCTGTGCAGAAAACGCAATGCAGTCGTGAGAGATTTTAAACTCGTTTCATCGTCGTCAACATTCATTCATCAATCGCTTCGAAAAGACTTTTCATCTCTCCAATCTCCATAATTTCCTCTTCTTCGAAATGGTATCCGATTCCATCCTATCCAAAATCAGCTTCACACATCAGACACGAAAGTAAGAGCGAAGAAACTTACTAACCACTTTGCCGAAGGAAGACAACCACATGTCGACGGCTGGATTGACCAGACCACCCTTCTTAGTGCCATGGTACTTGGATGGGTTGAGTTGGAACATTGGTCTATAGATGCCAACCCAACCCATCCATGCAGATACAGCACCCTTACAGGCGTTTAAAAGTCTTGGACGCGTGGTCCAAGTACTCTATATTGGTCAGCATCAGGCAAGTAGCCGATATGCCCTGGCGAGTAGACAGGCGTGGAGGTTGTGACGAAGTCTTGGGAGTGACCCCGGTATGAAATGACCAAGGGTTAGCAACTGCAATTGTATGTCTGATGAGGTGTTAGTGATTTGTGACTCAAGAAATTGGGTGAAAAGACAACTTACATTCTCCGAATCTCGTTGTGAATACTACCACCAGCACCATGCACACACATTTAGCATTATCCCTTACGATCACAACTATTGAAGAGTTGGATCGTTCGCGGCGAGGCGATGGATATGCAATGCATTTCACAAATCACATACCAGGGACAAGGATCACTTCCCCGTCATGCTTTTAACGATCACGGCAATCAGTGGAAAACCCAAAGGTGAATATGTTTCCATTCTATTAAACAAACCACTTAACTCTTCCTCCCATTCATTCCGATATTACCACTCGCGCCGAGGAGTGTCTCTTGGATGTGTTGTTCAGTATTGTTCAATGCCCAATCCCTATCAAAAGATTAGTAAGTGCATACAATCCGCAACAAGATTCGAATACATACCATGAAGAAACTCCCACCTAACTCCTTTTCTAATCATTCGCCCACCCCGGCCTTGCCACCTGAGTATCAGACCGGCGCCAAGCCGCACCGGGGTGAGTATGAAGGTGACTGATAGTACGTTTAGTTTGCTGATCCGAAGCGATTGAAGCCGACGATCAATATTGTTTTGTTTCTAACGACACAAGTAAAAATCAGCGTGCGTCAACGAGAAAGATTCATCAGCATGAGGAACACCAATACTTACTCTAGCGAGAGTATTGAGTGCCGAGTTCATATCGGCTCCTCTCATCGATCGTGCTGTCCAAAACGCCAATTGTTTTGCCGACCGAGAAAGCCGGAGGAGCTTCACGGTGATGCATGCTGCGTTGGCTGAATTCTGTTCGTAGGACTGATTCTACGTTAGTAATGAGAGGTAATTTTTGGAATCAGTTACGTACCGTTGAATCCTGAACGTAGTAATATCTCTCGTTATAGGTTCTCGGTGTGCTTGTGCCAAAACTCAAATTTCTATGGTGGTGATGGTGTTAGAGAAAGCTTGCAGAAGTTGGAAACCTGTAGGCACAAGCTTGTCTCGAACTTACAGCTCTAGTTGTGCATAGGCCACATCATGATGACGTCTATTGTTTGAGTTAGCAGAGCCCAAAGACAGAAAGAGGTAGTTGTTACTTACTTCTTTTCTTGACGCTATGCTATCATCGACAGCGACAGCGACGAGCTTGTCGCCAAGCGACGTAGATCAGAGACCACAGGAATCATGAAGAAAGAGCGAACGCCAGAGCAATTCTGCGTTGTCGATCTTTGCACGTTTGGTGCTCAGAAGGTCAGGCGTTGAGAATTTGATCTAGCAGCAACTTCAAAGTTAGCCAAGTAAGCTCGTAGATACTTGATTAATATCTCACCTGTATCAAGACTCTAACAGTATTCCTCCGATCTTGCAGATCAAGTGATCGGCTCATCGTCACTTTACCAGGAAGTAACTGGATAAGAAGTTCGTTCCTATTTATCCATCGTCAGTTTTTTACCATCAAGATCAATTGACGAATACTGCGAAGAAGTACAAGTGCAACATCTTGAAGTAGTGGCACATATGATTTCACCTGCCTGTAGCGCAGCCGCAAGTTTCAAACTCAAGAGTTAGAGTTAGAGTTGAAGTTGACGGCGACTCAAGGTCCAAAAGATAGTTGAAAACACGTAGAAAAGGGAAAGAAAACTTACAATCCCCAAGAAGAAGAATCCATTGATCCCAATCCACAAATAAAAAAACTATATCATTGTGTTGTTGGCAACCAAAAACTATGGTAATTCGTTGAAAGATCGTTGTGTTGAAGTCCAAGAAGCTGAAGTTGTGGAAACAAACCCAAGGAAAGAATAACAAAACAAAACAAAACAAGAAGCACTATCCCATTTCCCAAAATTGGATTTGTGGGAGCTAATCCCACTTAGGACGCCGAGACACTAAGATGCTCGAGGGTATGGTTTGTAGATTCTGGGTTTGGGTTTGGGTTTTGGTTTGCTTAGTCGTTCGAGTGGTGTGATGTGGTGAGAGTGTTTGACTTGAATAGTTGATGAGAGGTTGGAATGAAAGTCTTTTACTAAGCAGCTTGTATGTGATAGGGTTGTCTAGGACTTTTATTGAACTTATGGAACTTTGCAGTATAGATATATTCGTTTGTTAGAACTTTAGGGGGAAGTCTTCTGATATTTTGGGCTGAGGAGAGTTTTTCATAGGGAGAAGCAGGATATTTGGATACCTACCTGTGTAAGAGATTGAACAATGAGATGAATACTTGCTTGCGATATTCTTTCACTTAATATTCTTGCTCTATATTACTCTATGAATTACTTAGTAATTCTAATGGTAAGATATAAAAACCAGGTATGTACGTGACACCATTAGTCAAATCCTCCAAAGCAATACTAGGTATATATCCCATAAAAACTTAGTTACTCATACTCTTACTCACCAACAAATCAACTACCTATGTATCTATTTAAACCCCTTATATTCTCATACCCTCAAATGCCCCAACCTCATCTTCACAACCTCCAACCTCCAACCTCCAACCTCCAACCTCCAACCTCCAACCTCCAACCTCCAACCTCCAATCCCAATCCCAATCCCAAGCACACTCAAAAGTATCATAACACCTACTCAAGAAATCAACATGAATACCTATCCAGTATCTACCATCCACCCATCTAATCACCATCACAAAAACCACAAAACTCCTTCGGAACCTTCATCACACATATAGTAATCGAGCCTCGATTTTCCATTAAAAATACAAGATTACATCCAAATCGATTTATATTAAATACCTAATAATCTAACTCTCACTAGATAGTACCTACTACCTAGTATTCAACTCAATACTCAACACCTACTAGGCGGGCACACCGAACAAAAATATTCTCTTACCTACCCAGTATGATCCCCTCCATCCAACTACCTCCCTACCTCCCTACCTCCCTACCTCCCTACCTCCCTACCTCCCTACCTCCCTACCTCCCTACCTCCCTACCTCCCTACCTCCCTACCTCCCTACCTCCCTACCTCCCTACCTCCCTACCTCCCTACCTCCCTACCTCCCTACCTCCCTACCTCCCTACCTCCTACCTCCCTACCTCCCTACATCCCTACCTCCCTACCTCCCTACCTCCCTACCTCACCTCCCTACCTCCCTACCTCCCTACCTCCCTACCTCCCTACCTCCCTACCTCCCTACCTCCCTACCTCCCTACCTCCCTACCTCCCTACCTCCCTACCTCCCTACCTCCTACCTCCACTCCCTCCCCACAACCATAATCAACCAACCATCAGTTTCCACGCCTCTTATAAATGCCAGCCCCAAGCATCCACCTAACTACCTAGTTTTCCCTCCAACTTCCATCACAGTAAAAAATATTCCCAGATTTCCGCTAGAACTCATCTATCCCCCTCCTTCTTCCCTTCCTTCTTCCCTTCCTTCTCCCCTTTCTTCTCCCTTTCCTTCTTCCCTTCCTTCTCCCCCTCCTTCTCCCCCTAAAATACATCGCTAACCCTTTTATTCCATTCATAATTTCACAATCCCAAATTTCACAATCCCATAATTTCACAATCCCAAAATTTCACAATCCCAAAATTTCACAACCACCCACCCTTATATCCAACTATAGGTAGATATCAAAACCTATTAACACCTATCTATCTATTTACCTAAATAAATCAAATCAAATCAAATCAAATCAATAAACATAATTTTCAGAAATATCATCCTCTCCTCCATCTCCTCCATCTCCTCATCTCCTCCATCTCCTCCATCTCCTCCATCTCCTCCATCTCCTCCATCTCCTCCATCTCCTCCATCTCCTCCATCAACCAACCCCCATTAACCCCTCACCCTCACCCCTCACCCCTCATCCCTCACACCCCTCATCCCTCACCCCTCACACCCCTCACACCCCTCACACCCCTAACATCCCTTATATCCCTTATATCCCACAAAATCCACACCTACATCCACACCCACACCCAAATTTCCCTTCTTCCCCTTCTTCCCCTTCTTCCCCTTCTTCCCCTTCTTCCTCTTCTTCCTCATAATCTCTCTTCCATTTCCATTTCCATTTCCATTTCCATTTCCATTTCCATTTCCATTTCCATTTCCATTTCCATTTCCATTTCCATTTCCATTTCCATTTCCATTTCCATTTCCATTTCCATTTCCATTTCCATTTCCATTTCCATTCCCTCCCCCTTTCTCAAACCCCAACCCCAACCCTAAATCTCAATCATCAGTCACCAATTACCATATATCAAATGGAGATATCAAGTGAATAGAAAGAAATAATTGATATATTTAGATATATATATATATATACACACATACATACATACATATAATAAACAAGCAAGCAAGTAAATATCTCCCTCTATAAGAGAAGCTATATATACTATTTGATATTATATCATACTACATCATATCATACCATACTACACAGTATCCCCATCGCGATACAAATTTCCCAACAAAACCCATCCATTCCATCCCATCCTATCCCATCCCAATCCATCCCATCCCATCCCATCAGCCCTCAAACCACAGATAAGATTAACAAAATACGAATCCCCAACCCCAAGAAGAGAAAAGAGAGAAACGAACCCTCAAGTTTTCTATCAACAAAAATTAGACCCACCAAATGAGACAGAGCAAAAATTCACCCGGAAATTTTCCTTCAGAATGCCTTTCCTCCATCCATCCTTGTATTGTATGTAAATGTATATCCATCCATTCATCCATCCATCCGTCTTTCTTTCCGTCATAAATCATAGAGTAGTCATAAACCCTTTACATCACATCCCTTCACATCCCTTCACATCCCTTCACATCCCTTCACATCATATCGCATCTCATATCAGCTCCTCCTATTCCATAATCCTTCCAATTATATATTACCACCACCACCACCACCACCACCACCACCTCCCCCTTCCTATCCCCCTCTTTCCCCAATCCCCCTCCCCTACAATCCCCCCACCCCACTATCCTTACTCGCCAACCTCTCCCTCTCCACCTCCTTCCTCCTCCGATCAATCCTCCTAATCCTTCTTTTCTGCGCCACCTCAGCATCCCAAATTCCCGCAAAAAGTTCCTCACACTCATCTTCATCTTCCGAATCAAAATTCACCCACCCCTTCGCTTCTTCCTCTTCTTTCGTTTCCACATTCAACATATGTAATTCTCCATCTCTCCTCGCGCCTCCAAAATTCCCCATCCCCATCCCCATCCCCACTCCCCCAAATCCCAAACCATCATCCTCCTCGCCGCGAAAATCAAGCGAATGCGTTCGCACATCCTCATCCTCAAACGTCTCCACAACCCCCACCCTCTTCGTTTCCAAAATAAATTTTCCAATTTTATATCTCTGGCCCGCCTCCCGCGCATCCACATATTTCCACCCCAACAACGTATTACAAACCGCGCAGTTTACATCTGCGACGACATGGTGACCTGTTAACAATTCTCGATTCGCAGGACGCCCGATGCGGACGTTGGAGATATTTTTGGAGCGATCGTGAGCGGTGGGTGGAAAGGGAGGGATTTGAGGAACGGGGGAAGAAGGAGGCGGAGCGACGAGATAGGCGCGGCCGTGGCGACCGGTAAAGCCTTTGGAGATTATTTGCGAGGAGTACGAGATGTGGGTGGAGCAGGTGAGACAGCGGATGGTAGAGGGAAAGGGACGGGAGAGATGAGGTTGAGGGAGAGGTTTGGTGCGAGGAGGAGAGGTGGGAGTGGAAGTTAAATCATGACTCTCGTTTTCATTCTCATTCTCGCTCCAACTCCCACTCTTGTGGGTGGAAGTAGTTGGAATGCGCGAGAGAAAACTCCCAGATGTAGGTGATGCGAGTGGAGTTTCATTACAGCTACTGGTAGGCGAATAGCTTAATCCTGGAACCAAAGGATTTGCGCTTGTACTTGTGTTGAGCGATGCGGTTTTTGTGCTAGGAGAGGATGTGTGACGACGAAAGGGGAAGGAGAAGGAAGGGAGAAGATAGGTTGGGAAGGTGAGGCGTTCGTTGGACATTTTTGGGACGGGTTTCTTTTGTTCTACTCGCAGATAGCTACTTCTCGTGCTTGGAAGCTAGCTAATAGTATGGAAGATTTGCGTTGTCATAAAAGGTGTATCGTGGTAAGAAGGATTTTTGGATATTGTCTGAATGTCAAGATTAGAAAGCTGCGATGAAATGACATGATGGTGAATAGGGGAAAAATTGGGATTCAAGTAAGAAATAAGTAAATAAAGCTAAAACATCACACACACAAAGAGTCGCGTGGGAAAGTCTCAAAGGTCTTGAAAGATATAAGACTGTTTGCGCGACGGAAAGGGATGGCATGATCACTCACTTTTATAGATGAGACAATGCTATTATTGGCATTTGTATGTGTGTGTGTCGATGAGTTTCGCATGTGAAATTGGGAAATCTTGTGAGCTTTATTTGAAGATATCGGAGGGTATGAGATGGATAGCATAGATATAGAGATATCTAGGTAGAGAGACCAAAGAATTGAGGGATAAAAATGAGGTATTTACATGTATATAATGTCATACCGCGTAGCTTCTTCTTCTTCTCACCATTCAAATGATTGATGAGAGATATTCTAAGCAAAAGTACCGAGATCAATCTGATGTCGTAGGACAAGAAGCGATAATGGGATCGTGTGGTAAGTGACATGTGCATGTGAAATAAGAAAGCGATTTGAATAGGTAGCGATATATATAGACAAGCAGACTTACTTAATCTTGGATTTGAGAATTGAGGATACATACATTTGTCGATATGTATGACCGAGACGAGACGAGACGAGACGACTTACATAAATCATGTGTTTTTTCCCACTTTTCAGTTTTCACTTACCACTTTCCACTTTAGTATTCAAGTTGTGCAGAGATGTGTTGTCGCATTCATTTGTACAGAGTGAGTCCAGAGTCCAGACAGAGTATTATCGTGGGTTGTGTGATTGTGCCTCCGCTTTGCAGAAGATAGATGGAGCTGGTGAGAGGACTAGGTGACAAGGGAGCTGGGTATCTCGGAGCCAAGGGAGGGAGGAGGAGGTAGTCGGAGGTAGTAGGAGATAGTCGTAGGTGATTATAGATAATCGATAATTTACTATCACTTACCTAGGTTGGCTTATCGATAAGATAATTGTAAGAAAGATTGTAAGGGTGTACGGATGGATGTAAGGATGATTTATATCAGACTGCCAGTCCAGTACCGGTAGTCAGATGATTTCTGGTAAATGATGATTGATATTTACGAGATGGGAGAAGAAATATAAAGATGGAAGATCTTTTTCCTTCTTGTCACAACTCCATTTATTCTTTCAAAAAAAGAAAGGGATCATTATACAGACAAGGATTGACTGACTAACCTGCATATTCGTTCTATCCTTCGAGCCTTCTCACAATGTTTTGCATAATCTACTCGTACTAGAATACATATGGACACGCAGGAAGGAGGAAGGAGGCAGGGCAGAAATGCTTGTTGTTCATCTCAACTCGGTGATTCAGGTATACTTGTGGACCAATGCGATGTGATATTATGTATGTATGTACTATGTACCTACTCGTATGTACCGCGGTTAATGGGAATGGGGAGAATAAGCTGCTCCATTTTCGGATCAATGTACTCGTAATACTTGTAGTACTCGTAGTACTCTGTGAATTATGGGAGCATCTTGACTTTGACTTTGATTCTTAACGTTTGACTCTGGACCTTTAGCTTTGAACGCTTTATGCTTACTTCTGAACGCTTCATGCTTTGGTCTGGTACCTCCATACGCAGTGCAAACAAGTGAAGGGATCCCTAGATATAATCAGGTACATATAACAATAAAGAACGGATCCAACAAACTGTCAGTACTCCGTACCTACGATTCAAGAAGGGGAGTGATCGAATAGAGGTACCAAAAAGAACAAATCAGATTGCATTCAATGTGCATTCAACATACATTCAATATGCAACTCATGATGAAATGAATAATATATGGTGAAATGCATGCATGGTGTTGTGTGAGTTGTGACTTGAACATTAGAATAATCAAATGTCGTATTTAGATGATACAAACTCGTATTTGCTTGGCAGTTGCTGTTTCGAGGGGAATGGAATGAGAAAAGGCAATTTCCTGCTGACTACACACTCTGTACTCTGTGGTACCTAGGTAATTCTGTTCTGATGAATGAATGAATGAATGACCTTACCAATTGTCATACTTCATAATCCATTATTGTATCACATTGATTAATAATAACATTCAAACTTCACTGAAAACAGGTAATTGAATCCTCCTAGAAATTTCTAGTGCTTTGGAGTCATGGCGGTTGGTTGTGTTGTGCGGTAGACCAAGATGTTGCATGAGAACTCATCATGATTGGTTCATTGAAAGCGGGGAAATTACAAACTAAACTTTTCTACCTTTGTTTAAATCTGAGAGAGAGAAAGAAAGAAAGAAAGAAATCTAAGCCAGAGCCGCCTCTTTTCTCCTTCCAGTCACCGATTATCAAATAGTGCAAAACTCCGAATTTCAAAATTCACCAAGAAAGAAATCAAATCTCCCATCCAGAAATTCCATCTTACAAATCCTCCCTGCAAATCTCACTTCAATCCATCGTCGCAATAAATCAATAAATCAAATCGTGTTCAATCAAATCGCAATTAAATCAAAATCAAAATCCCGACTACCAACTGGTCAAATTCTATCCCCAAACCGTTCACACCGCAAAACTGGCAATTTTCGAGAACAATGGCTCCAAGTATGAAAAACAGTCATAGTAGTAGTAATTGTGGCGGCGAGGTAGTCGGCTCTCAAGCCAACGTCCTCGCCAGCTGCTACATTGTCGATTCTTCCGCTCGTCTTTCTGGATTCCATTACTCCACTACCGGCGCTGGCGGGTTAGTTTCCCCCTTTTCATTTCCATCCACCCAACGTTCGCAAACCAAACATCAAATACTAATCTTCTTTCAACAGGGCAAAGTGGTATCCCTGAGGTCCGCTCAGGGTCAATATCCCCTCCGTCAAGTCCCCCTCTTGCGGCCTTGACATCTGCCAACGAATTCGCATTAATCAATCATTCAATGAAGAATCGAGGTAGAACTACAAGCCGCAAAGAGGGGGCAGCGTACGCCATCCGGGAAGAGTGTGAGAGACTCTTTTGCGAGAACATGAAAACCATTTTTCTTGGTGAAGAAGAAAGTGCGAGTAGTGACTCAAACGTGATGGGTGCGGACACGTATTCAAGTCTTGACGATGATGTGGATACGCATGATAATTACTTTGGTGTCGTCAAATCAGGCCATGCAATCGATGCTTGGGTCGAGATTTGGGATTACACGGGAGGGTGCAGTTTTCGTGGATTTGTTGGCGGAAATGGTGATGAGAAAACACTCTTTGCATTCTTTGACAATTCAGTCATTGGAAGGGATTTAAAACAGGGGTAAGGATTACTTTGTTGTCGTCACCACAATTTAAGTTACTAATGAGCAATAGACTGATGGCACTCATTGAACTCGCGGATGAAGTATTCGCAGTCTCCAAAGTCGTTATTAATGTTGATCGATCAATTCCCGAAGGAGATAGATCAACTTTCCTGAAAAGTCTTCGTTGGGTTGGATTCGAATTGACAACCCTTGACATGTGGTCGCATCAACTGGATACCACGAGTGAAAGATGGTTATTGATGGGATTGGAAGTTTAAGATGGATTTGATAGGATTGGAAGTTTAAGATGGATTTGATAGGATTGGAAGTTTAAGATGGATTTGATAGGATTGGAAGTTTAAGATGGATTTGATGGATGAGGGGAAATAGATAAGCAAGGTGCTAGGTGGATAGGAAGGAATCTTCTTTTATAGGCGTACGGTTGTACGAGCACTTTTCTGCAAACACAAGTTGTTCATTGCCGGGGTTCGTGGCGTGGTCCTTGATTTTTATTTTTCTTGAGTTTATGTTTTCATGGGACGTTTGATTCAGTGGACGGAAGGAAGGAAGGCAAAGCAAAGGAAGGAAAAGGAAGGGAGGAAATAAACACTTTCATAAGTAGTAATTCTCGTTCTGGGGTTTTCATCTTGATATGAATATGGATAGGGTAAATACTTTTTTTTTAAATAAGATTTACCCTCTTTTTCCTTTCGATTCTACATAGATTGTTACACATGAATTATTCTTCTTATTCTTCTTGTTGTTTTGTTAGGTCATGCTTGTGTGAATTTCTTGGTGACTTGATGACTACTAGGTAGGTAATTCATACTTGGAAATCTATTCCGTGTTGTACTCGGAGTACCTATACTCTATAGATATGGATATGAGTATGGATATGGATATGAATACTCTATGGAAACGGATATGTATAGGTATGTGTAATGATGAGCCTCGTTGAGGCGGGCGGTTTGGTTTAAGCCCTGGAGACTTCAATTTGATTTTATTTTATTTGATTGGATTGGATTTGATTGGATTGGATTGGATTGGATTGGATTGGATTGGATTGGATTGGAAATCGGGGAAGGGGGGGAGGAGGGAGGAGGGAGAAGGGAGAAGGGAGAAGGGAGGGAAGGATTGCGTGGCGGGCGTGCCCAGGTGGTGTGTGGCACCTGGGTGTGGTGTGGTGTGGTGTGGTGCAGTGCAGTTGTGGCGTGTAGTATGTGGCGAGATGGATGAGATGAGATGGATGAGATGAGATGGATGAGATGAGGAGAGCTGGAGATGAGAGGAGGGAAGGGGAGGCAAATGGTTGGTTGGTTGGTTGGTTGGTTGGTTGGTTGGTTGGTTGGTTGGTTGGTTGGTTGGTTGGTTGGTTGGAAGCTGGGGAGGTTGGAAGTAGATAGTTTTGGTTTTGGGTCAGGTGAGGATTTGGGTTAGGTGAGGATTTGGGCTAGGTGAGGTTTTGGGTTAGGTGAGGATTGGTTTTGGTGGAGGATTGGATTATGGGGTAGATAGTTTGAGGGTAGATAGCTTGAGGGTAGGTAGCTTGAGGGTAGATACTAGATAGGTATTTAAACTGTGGATACCTATTGAGTATTGAGTACTAGGTATGTAGTCTGGAGGTGGTTTTTGGAGGTGGTTTTTGGAGGGGAGAGGGGAGGGGAGGGGAGGGGAGGGGAAGAAAGGCGAAGGAGGAGAGGCGAGGGGAGGGGAGGGGAGAAAGGAGAGGCGAAGGGGTTTTTTAGGGAGGGGGTTTTTTAGGGGGGGAGGGGAGGAGAGGGGAGGGTTTGATGTGAGTGGTAGTGGTAGTGGTAGTGGTAATAGTAGTAGTAATAGTAGTAATTGTTGATTAGTAGTTAGTTGATTAGATAGATAAATCAATAAATAGATAAATCAATAAATAGATAAATAGATAAATAGATAAATTTTATATGAAATAATTTTTATAAGATAATTTGATTTGATTTAGAGATATAAGTACTCTAGAGATTTCTATGATATTATTATAATAAATAATAATATAATATTGTAATTCTAATTGATTTTGAAATATGTTTTTTATAATATCAATTATGAAAAGATTTTTGAAAAGATGTAATTCTGGGGATATGTATTATGTATGTATATATGTATGTATATATGTTTAGTATGTATGTTTAGTAGGTATGTTTAGTAGGTATATTTAGTAGGTAAGGAGTAGATGAGAATAAATGAGAATGGATGAGAATTGGAGAATAATAGGGGGGGGATGATAGGGCGGGGATGGAGATATAGGTAGGTATGTAGATATGTGATATATAGATATTATGATGTATTATGAATTGTGAATTTTTATTTTTGTTTTTGTTCTTGATATTGAGTAGGAGGAAGATAAATGAATGAATGGATGGATAGATGGATAGAGTCTAGAGGAGATTTTAAAGAGAGAGGGAGAGAGGAGGGGGAAGAGAAAGAGAGATTAGATAATTAGTATTTTATTAATCTAGATATAGATAAACTTAGTTATACCGGACTGAAATTTTCGACCAATCAAATCCGGTATATTTATGATTCCGGTATAAAAAATGGTGGTTTAAGCTTCATAACCAAAATTTATATCCGATTTCAGCTCTAAACCTCGATATTTTCGGAAAATATTATGTGATTATAGCCAATTAAGCTTACTCATCCAAAATTCAGCTTATTTAGCCAAATCTCCCACCAAAATTTATACCGGATTCGTGAAAAAAGTGTCCGGTATACCGGTTTTGCCCAAAAATCCGGTATCACCATATAAAAAGTGATCAAATCAGGAAATTATTCCGGTATATCCAAGATTCCGATATATCCCAGTCCGGTATAGCCAAGTTTATCTGTATATCGTACGTACTCGGTATGTAATAGGTATGTGACCGAGTAGAATATAATATAACATCACATCATATAATAGGTAATATACTCGTAGGTATCCTCGTACAATACTCACCGATTGATTGGTTGATTGATTGAGGCTTGCTTGCCGTGCGAGCTTGTCTTGTTATTGAAGAACTGAATGTCCTCGTGATGTGAGAATTAGTGGTATGTAGGTATGTAGATATGTAGATATGGAGGTAGGGAACTATACTATTATGAGTTTGATGCTTGGTCTTGGTTATTTGGAGGGACTACTGGGGTGGGATTCTTGAGGGATTCTCGAGGGGTTCTTGAGGGATTGTATTATCGATGCGGGATATCGATTGGGTTTGGAGGGGGTTAGTTGGGGGGGGGGGGGGGTAGTTGAGGGTAATTGGGGGTTTAGCTGGGAGTTTAGTCAGGAATCTAGTTGGGAATCTAGCTAGGAGGAGAGGAGATGGAACTTGAGGGACTTTTTAGTAGGGATGCGTGGATGCGTGGATGCTAGATAACGTAGGGAGCGAGTAGTGAGAAAGCGGCAGTGAGAATGCTCCAGTGGAGTATGGATAATGAGGGGATGGATGGGATGGGATGGAGATTTGAGTGGGATTGAAGATTTGAGTGGGATTGAAGATGTGAGATGGATGTAAGATGTAGGGTAGTGTAATGTAGTGTGATGTAGTATCATAATGAAGCTGTTTTGATTGTAAAGAGCATCTAGACGTATAATAGATATTCATTCGCCATTCATTCGCCAACGAGAAGATGGAGATGATTCCAAATGATTATCTAGAGCTTATTGAAAGAGAATGGATCTTGATGGCAAGATGTTACAGTACTACCTCGTAAGATTCAATTACCTATGTAGTATCTCTAGTACATAAACATCATCTACCATCCATACCATAGAATCAAATCGAAAGAGGCAAAACCCATACAAACATTCATTATCAATCTTGATCATATTCATTCATTGATTACCTACCTCCCTAGTACCTACCTACTACCGAGATATTCAATAATGACCGTATCATTCTCGCATTCACCCTTCACAAGTCGATCTCTTCTTCCCTCCACCGGTATTATTAACAATTGCCTATTACCTACTACCTCCAGGCCTTTCCACGTACCCTTCTACGGCAGCCTTGCTTATTGATTTTAGCGATTGGTTTCCTTTGCCCATACCGTACCGTAAACTGGTTTTCGTAAGCTAAACCCAACACTTGTAAGTGATTCCCTCCCTCCCTACCTAGTCCGCAGCTACATACACTCCATCTTACATATTCCCTACCACCACCTACCACCTACCACTTACCTACATCTTCCTCTCCACATCTTCTCCATCCTCTATTCCTACAACATACAACTTACAACATCAATCAAAAACACATCAATCCACTTTCCCTACAACAATTCCCTTTGCACAATAGATCAAAGGAATATCCTTTGATTCTTTTGATCGCTCGATACAATTATCGAATCCTTCGATTCTTCCAAGATACCCCATTCAAAGAATCGATCATTCATAATAAGATAGATAAGTAAGTCCGATCGATTCCTGGCCGGCATCATTCCCTTGCAAGGTCACCGCTCTCTCTCGACATCACTTTATCACTTCATCACTTCTTCACTCTGGCACACTTACTGACAACGATACTCTTCAATAGATTTGTTATTTTCAACCATGGCGTCCATGACAGCCCCAACTCCAGATACGCTGGTTACCCTCAAGGTGAATATTGAGGGTAGCAATCGAAGATTCAAGCTTCCTCTTCGTGATCTCGGTGCTAGCACTCTTCCCGATAAGGTATGTGATAACATCAATCTATCTCCAAATACAGCTCCATGATTATGCAAAACATAATATATTGTTTAATCACGATGGAGCTTGATGAAATCATTTGAATATAGCTAATCATTCCCATCTACATAGCTTCGATTCCTTCTCGCCATCCCCACAACTTCCGAGGCTATCTTTGAGAGATACTCCGATAGTGCTGCTGCCTTCATCGTACTCGATGCAACCAATCCTTCAGTTTACAAACAATTGTATCGTGCTGCCAAGGCGAAGCTTAAGCTTAGACTCAAGGTCACCATCAAGGACAAAGAACCGGTCGTGCCAAAGCCAGCTTCCGTCGAGGATGAAGAATCAACTTCAGCCAAGCCTGTTGTAGCACAACCTGAATACCCCTCATTCACCATCCCCGTATCACACCCATCAACCACTGAGATCCCTAACGCCAGACGCAGCGTAGCTTTCGACTCGGAGGCGAGAACGGAAGCACAATACAAGGAGTCAAGTGCCGCTGTGCAAGTGCAATCCAAAGTACAAGAGCAGATTGAAGCAATTATCTCCCTACAAAAATCCTTTGATGAGATGGCTGTCTCTAATAATCACGCTGCTTACCAAACAGCAATCGAACACGCAAAGCCACTTCCTGCCTACTTGCTGGACAGATATGACGTGGCTTCAGGAAGCTCAAAGTCACCAGAACCTGTTGTCAGCTCGTTCTCGGTTTACTGTAACAGTTGCAGTGTCTCTATTCCAGATATCCACTATCATTGCAGCACCTGTGATAATGGTGATTTCGACTTGTGCCCAGAGTGTAACGATGCTGGAGTCACCTGCAATGGTGATCATTGGTTGATTAAACGCATCGTGGATAAGGGTCAATACATTCACAGCACAACCGAAAAGCTCGCCCCTAAACAACTTTCTGGCTACAGAAATACCAAGCTTCAATTCTCCGACTCTAAGATTACCCTCGTCGCTCCCGCAGTCGAAGAGAAGGAACCGGTTCCCACCCGCACTTGCAACAGCTGCATCTCCGAAATGTCCGAAGAGAACTTTGTCACTTGCATCGATTGTGCAGATTTCGATTTGTGTATTCAATGCCACGTATCATTGAAACATGGCCACAACCCTAAGCACGCTTTCGCTTTCGTGGATGAGGATGCTAACTTTGGTCCAATGGCCTCCGCTCTTCTCGCCGCAGGTCGTAACGCCTCTCACTCTGCTATTTGTGATGGATGTGATAGAAACATCTTTGGTGTTCGTCACAAGTGCCTTGATTGTCCAGATTGGGATTACTGCGATGCATGCATTGCGAATGCTACCTTCATCCACCAAGGTCACAGATTTGTACCTCTCTACGAACCTGTCAGCCGCTCGTGTGCCCAACAACAAGCTAGCAGAGTTCGTCATCATGGTATTTTCTGTGATGGACCTCTTTGCAAAAACAAGCACCACACCGAAGATAATCATGGTAACGTGGCTCCCGCTTATATCACTGGAGATCGTTACAAATGTGCTGTCTGCCATGACACCGATTTCTGTTCTGTTTGTGAGGCCAGTCCATCCAACACTCACAACAAGACCCATCCTTTGATTAAGTTCAAGACACCTGTTCGCAATGTTAGCGTTACCACTCTTGGTGATCATCCAAATGGTAAACCCATGGCACCAATGGGTGATCGTTTTGCTCCAACAATTTCAAAGGCAACTGAGACCACTCCAACTCAGTCCACCAATGCTGCAACACAAGTTCAAACTGTTGCTGAAGTTAAGCCTGTTGTTGAGGCTAAACCTGTTGAGGTTGAGCCTGTCTCTGAGATTAAGGCTGTTGCTGAGGTTGAACCGGTTGAGGTCAAGGAGGAAGTTATTGAGGAGGTCACTGAAGAAGCTCCAGCTCCCGTTGAAGAGGAATTGGTTGCACACTTTGTTCGTGATGCAGTCGCTGATGGTACCATCATGACACCAAACTCAGTTTTCGAACAAACCTGGTATCTCCGCAATGGTGGTAAGACATCTTGGCCTGCAGGTTGCAGTGTTAGATTTGTTGGTGGCGATAACATGTGTGCTGTTGACCCGGAACACCCAGCCAGTGTACATGAACTTGTCAGTGCTGCTGAGAGCACAACTTGTTATACTGAAGTCGCTCCTGGTCAAGAATACGGTTTCACCGTCTTGATGAGAACTCCAAACCGTGCTGGTAGCTTCATTTCATACTGGCGTCTTACCACTCCTACTGGTGATAAATTTGGCCACAGACTTTGGTGTGATATTACTGTCAATGAGCCAACTCCAGTCATCAAGACTGAAGTTGCTGAGACTGAAGCTCCTAAGGTTGAAACTCCTAAGGTTGAAGCTACCAAGGTTGTAGCTCCTAAGGTTGTAGCTGATGAGCAAGAGCTTGCCTCCGAAGTCTCATCCAAGGTTCAAGACTTACCTGAAGCCGAGACTAGTCAAATGATTTTCCCAAAGCTTGAAAAGGAATCTCCAATCTCAAGCATTCATGAAGCTCAACCATCACCAAAGGTTGTTCCAACTTCCGAAGAAATTTTCAACGATGACTTTGAGGAATTCAACCAAAACTTCGAAGATGATGAGGCTGAGGATGGATTCATGACTGATGAGGAGTATGATATTCTCGATGCCAGTGATGAGGAATACCTTGCCGAGCAAGAATCAGAATCTAAGAAGTAAATGCATCACCCAGCAAGTTGTATTAGGGTAAAGATGACTACATAAATAAATGGAAAGGACGTGGATGAATATGGCGAAGGGAATGGGGATGAATTATCACGAATAAGGCAGGCGTAAGATTGACACACAAACAAGCTCTGGATAGCGGATGGATCAAGGGAAATGGATGGAGCTTTTGGGATTTTTTACTGAACTTATTTTGGGGAGGAGGGAAATGGAATCTTTCTCACTCGCTGCTTTCTTTTCTATTACGTCTTTTCCTCTGAGGCTTTTCTTTAATTTCCTTTTACCACTTTTGATCATATGTGATGATATTTTTCGCAAGGGAGATTTCACACAAGATTGATATGGTACTTGTGGTTTATGGTTCGGTGGTGCTTTTGTTATTGGGCAGGAATTATCTGTTAGGAAAGAAAAATGATGATTTTTTTAAAAAAAAAAATTAGCTTGATTTTTGTGATGTGATTTTGAAATGACGTGTGATCTTATGAGAAACTGGAAGAGATTAAAGGTAGAAATTACTAGTGATGATAGAATGGGTTGATACAAAGTTGTGATGCATGGAAGATGTATTGTGTGTAGTATAGGTAGGTAGTTAGTGATTGATTGATTGACAGGGGTAATGTGAATAGTATTTTGAAGAGTGGAAAGGAGAAATAGGAAAGGAGGAGATGAAAATGGAGGTGGTGGTGAAGAGGCGGACAGGAAGAGGAAGAGGGAGAGGAAGAGATAGAAAGGGGGGGTTAGTGAGAGAGTGGATAGGAAGAGAGCAAAAGGAAGAGGGGAGAAAGGGGAGTGGAGGGGAAGTGGGGGAAATTGGGGAGTGGAGAGTTGATGGAGTGGTAAGAGGCTGGCGGTGGAGGTGGAAAGGAAGGAATAGATAGGAATAGATAGGAAGAAAAGAAGAGGGTAGAGAGTGATAAGAAGGCGAGGGAAGAGGGAAACAAGGAATAAAAAGGAATAGGGGGGAAATAGAAGGGAAATGGGGGGGATTAATGGGAATGATGGATTGATGGGTTAATGAGAGGGTTAATGAGAGGGTAAATGAGAGGGATAAATGAGAGGGTAAATGAATAGAAAGGGGAAAAGTGTAAAAAAAAGATGATAGAGGAAGAGAAAGAGGGAAATAAAGGGAGAGATGGAGAGGGAGCTGAAGAGGAATGAGAGGGAGAGGGAGAGGGAGAGGGAGATGAAGAGGGAGATGAAGAGAAGAGAGGAATAAGGGGGAGGGTTGATGAGATATATTATGTATATAGGATTTCTTTTCTTTTCTTTTGAGATTTGAGATTTTGAGAGTTTAAAATCTTAGATTTTAAAATATTAAAATCTTAAATTTAGATAAAAAAATATATATATAGAAATAACTAATTAAAATACAATATCTCACTTACTTACTCATTTATACTTATACTCATTACTTATTCTATCCCCCCTTCTTTTTAAATCTATCTCAATATTATTTATTTATTTAATTATCAAATCATTAATTCAATTCAATTCAATTCAAAATCAATATCAAATCTAAAAAGATTAAATTAAAAATTTAAGTCCTTTTTATACCTAGATATTAGTCGGTAGTTAGATTTTTTTGTATTCAATATTAAGGTTATTTCAAGAAGACATTCGAATTCGAATTGTTGAAGTTTTTTTAAATATTGATTAATTCCTGTTTGTTGTTTTGTTGATGTAGAGGGAGGGGGTTATTGATGTCTCGCTAAATTTCTGGAAATTGAATTGAGATTGGGTATGTTTTTCTTCCTGAGGTCTTGTTAAAAGGGAAAGTATCTTTTGATTGGGGTTTCCGAGTAAGTATTATATCGATAGTTTAATAAGTGATGGGAATTCAATGTTACTAACTAACTAACTATCATGTTTAGAGTATTTCGATATTTGTTTTCTGCTGGGTTTGAGGAATGTCTTTTGTTAGTTGTTTGAAAGAATTTATATCCCATAAACTAATAATGATAATGATAATAATCAATGACAATGACAATGACAAGAATGATATAGATTCCATACTCTCATCCTAATGAACTATTCTTATTGTCACTCGATCTTCAACTATTGCTATTCTTCATGATTAATATCCAATATAACGGCAGTTGGATGGGCACTATCGAAATATGACTTCCCTCCACTCGCGACTTCTTCAGCGAGATACAATATTCTATATAGTACCACGACTCACCACACGACACACGCAGCCACAACCCCTCATAGTATGTTTAACTTTGTCCCAAGTATTCTCAATCCGCTCATTCCCCAACCCTGGCCTCTTTTATAACTCTTGCTTCCTCTAAAATTCGAAGTCAGATTATGATTCCCCGCTGAGAACAATATATCAAATCATCAAAAAGTTGATTGAAAGTACATCACAATCCACCTCTTCTTTCCCCCCCTCTTACCCCCACGCTTTCCCTCCCCTCAAAATCCCCAGTATAAAAAATCCCATTATCCCCGACTGAGCCCTCCAGCAAATTCCATCCAAGATGACCTACTCGCAAATCTATGGGTGCAATGCCAACACCACTCTATTTTACCCATCTCTATCATCAAACCCGTAGAGACAACTGAATGAGATATAACATACAGGAAGAACTTGTTATAGTAACAATATAATCCTTACTCTCGTCCTGGTAAAAATTTCTTGTTATTATTATCAAATATCTATTTTGTGATAATTTTCGCTATTTGAGCCTACACAAGCTTCAAGTTTCTGCGATCTCTTCCTGGGAGAGGTAGATAGATGTAAAATAATGAGAGTGTGAGAAGAAATGCCGTTTAACTATTCCTAAAGACTGCGAGGATTAGCTGGTCTAGAACAACTAGTGAATCAGAGAAGCCTCCAAAATTGACCAGTTCAAATGCATGGAGCTATTGGTTTTGTAACTCCCCTTTTTGTATAGCTCAACGCTGATTTTGTTGATCCGCGTAGAAGTTTTCATTCATTTCTACACTAAGCGAATAGTTGTCAATGTAATTAAATGTAAATGTAAATACATCATTCACTCCTCCCAATTTACAATATATGCCCCTCTCAATTCTTTTTCCATCAGGGCGAAAAATTTCTCAAATTGGGCATACATAAACAAACAACACTCTCACTCTCCAAAGTTTCCTCACCATTACCTCGTTCATGCTAATGAAGTATCCAAAGGTCCGAACAGCTAAAGTCAATCTCAACTTTCCCGTTACGTTGGAACAATAGTTAATCTTACATCGACGCATTGAATTGAGTTGATGTTTGTGAACTTTCAACTTATCAATACCTATGTCATAAAAAAGCCTTTGTTGTCATTTATACTATTTTTCATCCGCTGTCAAGATATAAGTGTGTAGTATTATCACTCAACACCATCTAAACACCACGCTCATAACATCAAACCAAGACAACAAGCAACAGCCATAACCTCACTTTCCCAATTCCTAACCCTTGAAAAACAAAATCTCAAGCCCCAACTCAGATATACAATTGGAAACCCCACACATTCCGAGCTGCACCATAGTATGCTTCTCCGCATCTTCGCGTGAAATTTACCGTGTTCCTCAAACTAGGAGCTCGAGCTATTTATATCTATCACTCCTGTTAGCTTTCGGAACTCGTCGGGGACTTCTTGTTAGAGTTATCCTGGAGATCAGATGTATATGTATATATACTGTAAGGGCCTGAGATCTATGATCTGTGCATGCAATATATCATTCCCTTCCAACCCCACAACAAAACCCCTCTTCTCCTGTTCCATCATTCCCCCCCTCTCTTTTATTCCAAACACATGAATAACACCTCTGGCTCAGTGCAACTAAGAGACTAAACACCAAGAGAAACGGAGAAGCTTCAACAAGTCTGCTACCAACTGCATCAACTCTCCCTCACACACCCATGGAATGTCCAGTTCCTCATCACCAATAACAATCAACATACTCGAAGTTTATAACCGACTTCACTTCCCACTTCACGCGAGACGAAAACGCGAGGGAGATTGAGATTTCTTGTTGTCGACTATACTGCAAAAAATCTCGTTATCACCCCCCCCCCCCCCCCCCCCTATTCCAACACTAATTTCACATCCATGACAATCACAATCACCATCACTATCAAAATACCACCCACTCCCCAAAAGAAACCAAGATCCGATAAAACAAGCCGCGACGAAAGAACTCCCCCGAAGATAACTCCACCCCACACATAAAATAGAGTGTAAAAATACATATCCAGCCTTTCCATAATTCAATTTCAAAGAGTCTGATGCTCGACCTTATTGTTATTGGGTAGGTACCACTCGAATACATTTGTCTTCTTGAGTATGCACACCGTACCCCTTTAACATTCGCGAGATCTCAGTAGGTTACTGTGACGCTAAGTTGAGGTTCTGATACGGTGACGTGCTGTTTTTACTTCCTATGTTCACGTTGAAAGAGTGTACTCATTGCGGATATGATAATCTAACTCGCTTGAGAGGAATGAAATGGTTCGGAAAAATGTCTTGCACTTATCCTAGATTACAAGAATCTTCTTGATATTTCTATATGTTATTAGTCTATATGCTCCTCTACAATCTATATACTCCATCTCAGCTGATCTAGTCTATTCTATTCTAATCTATATGAACATGCACATCAAACATCTCGACTCCGCAAAAAGTCTCTATACTCTCACAACAAATCTCTATATTTACCCAACGCCGGTCCCTGACTTCCAGTAAACTCCTGATGCAACCCCTCCATCGCTGCAAAATGTTCCGCAAATTGCAATCCTCGTTTATTTTCCCTCTCAACTCTCTCCCAATTCCATTCATTTCCACTGCTCCCCTCTTTAACCTCCTCACCCTCCACCTTCGCCTCCACAAACGACTCATCCATTTCCGGCGTCGAAACCCCAGAATTAGCCATACTATGCCAACCGCCCGGTCTCTCCGGCAACACCCCACTAGCATTCAACACCACCTCTGGATGAACCGTCAACCTTCCCAATTTCATCACATACTTACTAACCGCACTTGCAAAAATAGCTTTCTCATCCACCTCGACCGCATCACCACCCTCTCCCTCCCTCTCCTCAAACCTCGCATTCCCACCCCCAAACCAACTTCCATCCCCCAACACAAACCCCCTCGGTCTCACCGTCCCCTTCTTCACAAAATGCGTCACCACATAAATCCACTTGCGATCCCAACACAGTATGCGACTCCACATCTCATATTTCTCATAGATTCCTATTTCCCTCTTGAAATTGCACATCACGCCTCCGAGCATGATTCCCCATCTTCCGCGCACCGCTTTCCCTTCCTTGTCCAGCACGAGTTTGTTTTTCGGATTCGCTTGCAGAGCGTGAATGCCCGGTTCTAGAAGACAGCATATGATATGCGATCGCGTGACGTCGAGATCAGAGAAATAGGTACTGTTCGATTTATGCAGATTGTAATCGCATTCCCAGAGGGGAGCATGGGAGGTTGTTATAACGGGGAGGAAGAGCGATGCGGGACCGAGATCCGAAGGGATATTTGGGATGGTGAAGATGAGATGTTTGAGGATTGCGTTCCAGACTCGGAACTGCGGATATATTAGCTGATGTTCTTTTTTTCCTTCTTTTTCTTGTAAAATGAATCAGATGGGGAGCAAAGAAATGGAGAACATACATGCCACACTCCAGGCAAACTTTTCAAATTCGCTAGAATGACAACGGTAGCTGCAATCCGCGAATAGCTTCCCGGTCCGGTAAAGACATCGGAGAGTAATTTTTGTATATTTACATGAGAGATACCTGCTGCGGCGACCACTGCCGTCGTAAACGCAATCGATTTGAGCGGGAGACGAGTTGCGGATGCCATTTTAAGGAGGTGAGTTTCCGACTTTTGAAAGCCAGTAATCTGAGCAGGAATTGTATATACAGGTGAAGAATGAACCCGCACACTTATGTATAAGCAATGTATAAGCAATGAACGAGAAACAAGCAAAGAAGAAAAAAATCACAGCAATGAATAAATAAAAAGGTTCAATCTCAAATAATCTCAATTAATAATGCTACTGGACACCGATAAATCATTGAACACAACACAAACATGGGTCTACCGAGGCACGGAGGAACCTATGGCCGACGAATTTCAAATGATGAAAAAAATCAAAAACTCTCAAAAATCTCATCGTACATCGTACAAAGACCCCGAGGTTATTTTTAGGGGGTCCCGAGAATCTGAGGTGGGATTTGCCATGTGTTTTCTGTCTTGGCTGTACTGATTATGTATCCGGTATCCAGCTGGCTGGTTACAGATGTCAGTGCCACGCCAGTAATCTTCATACATTATGAGATATGATATATCTCCGAAGCGTGTAGATCGTCGACTACCTAGTAAAAGATTTTCTTTTTCTCGATATGCGGCTCGGTACGATATATTGATCTCCTGCATGTGATAGACCGGTATACTGTTATCACATCGGCATATCCGCACGTCATGGAGACTACATGTGATGGATATCAAGAACGGGTGTTTTTCTTCTTCTACGATAATTCTTAAATTATTCATACAGTAGCGGCTTTTCCTTGAAGATTTTGACTCGCTAATCCCAACCATTTTTTACATCCATTTATCTATCTATTCTTCCTATATTCTATATATATATATATATATACGAGGGCCTGTTTTTATTGAATATCGGGTTTATGTATTCGTATAAAACATCTCAATAATGAAATCTTATTTCTATTCTTTAACTTCTAAATAATTAATAATAAATCAATTATTTAATATAATTTATTAAAAATATTTCGAAAGTATTGATATAGTTATAGAGTATATGTGTAACTTTCAAAAACTAATTGAAGAGAGATTCTTGATAGTATTAGATAAATGATTGTATATATAAATAGGAGAATCTTTGTTTAAGAGAAGATAATATATTAGAGTAATCGATATTCTAAAAAATCGATAAGAGTAATATAATAATATACATAAAAACGAACTAAATCGAATGATATATATAATAAATCTAAAAGAATACTATTAGCCGATATATCGAATATTGAGAATTTATTGAATCGAGATTAAAAATCTAAGCTTTTTGATATTGAAAAATAAATACTAATTATTACAATTAAAGTATTTCAAAGTAGTAGAATATTATTTATAAAATAATATATTTTGAATTAAAATACTAATATAAAAAATAGAATCTCTTTATTAATTTTTTGGAAAGTTATATATGAAAATTGGTTTTTTTATATTGTATTTATAAAAAAGCCTTAATTAAATATAGAATATTAAAAGAAAAAAGTTAAAGAAATTATAAAACTATATGATATATTAAAAAAGAACCTTAAAAGAATGAATTTCGTTAATATAACTATAATATATAATTTCGAAGAAGATATTTATAGAATGTGATATATATCAGAGAAATATAAATATGAAGATATAAAACAAGTTTCTATTTCGAATCTATAATATAATCGTAATTAGTTTTTTAAAAATATATATTTAAAAAAGCATTCTGAACTATATATTATATATATAATTAAAATAGAGAAAAAGAAGAAGGAGATTAAAGAGGAGTTAGAATAACTAAATCAAGAGTATAATTTATTATATATACTAATCTTTGTAGGCAATTAATAATAGGAAGTAAGAGAGTATAATCTATAAGGGAAGAAGAAGTGTAGGCTTATTGCTAATAGTATAATATATCCCCTAGAGTGCTAACTACGGCCGGGTTCGCTTATAATGCCTTATCAGCCAATCAAAGTATTGTGATCTGAGAGTTCTTGAAATCGTAAATTGTATTTATTTCGATAATAAAATATAATAGGATTTAAAAACTCTACTAAAAAAAAAATTTAAAATAAGATAAATAAATTAATAATTCAACTTCTAATTATTATTATATTAATAAATTTTATTTTTAAATTCTAATTAAATAGTTTTTATATTTGATATAATTTGTAAGGTTATTAATATTCTTACTTGTATACAGGCTATAGAACCCGGCCGTAGTTAGCACTCTAGGGGATAAGAAGAGTATTGTATATAAAAGGGAAAACTGTAATAAAGGAAGGATTGATTAGTATTACTTTTATAAAGGGTTTTTAGAATTTAAACTTGAACTATGGATGTAAGAGCTTAATGAGAGTAATAGTATAAATATTATATTGATATTGGATAATATATTAGTATATAAAGCTCCTTATATTAAAGAGTTTCTGAAAAAGTTTAATATTATAAATTTCGATTAGCCATCTCAATTTCTTGATATAAATATTATAGAATATATATAGAGATATATATATATATATATAGATTAGAAAACAATGGAATAAAAGCATTTATCCCTTAAATATAAAAAAAAATATATAAAGTTTAGAAAAAAGAATAATCTAATATATCTTAAGAAGTTATTAATAATACTATTCTATATATTATAAAAATATATGAATTTATTATTGAAAATTATAGAGATAACAATTTTTATGATTAAGGAATATTCTGGAAATAGCCTTATTTTAATTTAGATTATGAAATTTAAATAATAAAATTCCTTTAATGAATAATATAATGCTATACAGATTTATATGTAAGATTGTTATTTTTGAAAGATTAGTATTCTCGCTTATGGCAAGCCGGCAATCACTAGAAACAGGCCCTCGTATTTCCCCTTTTTATACAAAAACTACCGATAGAAAATCAATCCGGTACTGAAGGTATCAATCATAAAATCATTAGAACTCCTCCCATGAACCTATTCATCGCGTCCATCCCTCATGCTCATCACTATCATCCAGAATGAAATCCCGATGAGACAATGGGTCGATATCATCAAGAATTGTCGTATTTCCCACAGTTGTATTTCCTGCCGAATCTCTTTCCCTTCCAAGGCTGTTATCACTCCACTCTTGTTCCAATGCCAGGCCAACTTCCAAATCATTTTGTCTAGCCCACGCTTCCCCTGCATCACGTTCGTCTTGGCGTATCCCGGGTCGAGATGCGTTTCTGGCTGAAGCTGGAAGACTGAAATTAAAGTTGGCTGTTATTGGACTTAAAGTTCGTGTATGAGTGTATACTGACGATTCTGGTCCTTTTTTCCCTGTTTGTGTCGTGTATTCTGTATATTGTGTCCCGACGGATGTTCGTTGGTCAGGTAACATGCCTCGCATCTTCGCTTCCAACACAGCTCGTTCTTCAGGCGTGACGATCTTTGTTCCCATACTAGGTAATCTTTGAAATTCGGTACCCTGTTCCTCATCTCCAGATCTCATAACACCTCTTCTTTTGCTTTTAGGAAATTTCGTACGCTGGCCACAGCAACTAAGGATTAAATCTTTATATTGCGTGAAAGATTTGGCGGTTCCGAAAACGAGAAACACTAAGAGTGACGCTGTGACTCCGGGGATGAAGAGAATAATATCTGTAATACAGCCAGATATCGAGAAGTCGGGAGATGACGATTTCGCAAGTTTTTGAAAGTTTTGTTCGGAGAATAGAGAAAAAATGATTAACACAACTTCGAAAGCCCTTTTTAAAAATTGTCAGCTGGTCTTTCTACCAACCAGTTTAGCTATTAGGACACCAAAGAGACTCACAGAATAATAACAAATCCAATCGTAAACCGGGTAATAAGTGCACGATCGTATACAGAGCGACGAGCTAATTTGCGATTGTTGGCATTAGATTGACCGGTTCCAGTTCCAGTCCCAGTCCCAGTCCCAGTCCCAGTGCCGGTACCCGTTGTGTCAGTCGCAGTCGCTGTACCGCTTGAAGCCCACCACCCATTACGCTTTTCGTGTGCAAACAGAAGTCGCCGTGTTTTGATATATTTATAAAGAATAAGTACCATGAGGATACTGCCGGTTGACAAGCTTATGAGCACTATTATCACAAGTCAGACCAAGCTCTGAACGTACACTTTTAGAAATAGAAGATTTGGCTAAGCATGACTTACTTGTGGAGTTCATTAGAATGAAAGCCGCCACGAGGCTTCTTAGCACAGCCGGAGCATGCCCTACGCCCACTAAAACCCCGGGCACAATGATTGCAAATATCTTGGATATGAAAGATATGTGTTCTCGTAGCCAGCTACCAAGGAAGTTCGCACGTATTTCCCAGGAACCACAGAAAAGTTTGACAGCCCTAATTACTGGTAAATCTCAATACTCAACTCATCTGATTTTGAATCGACTTACCAGAATAACACCATTAAAGCCATAACATTATAACAATAGAATTCTGAGTCAAGAGGTTAGCAATCTTTCAGACTGGCAACATCGGGATGAGAACTTACGAATTGTAAATAGTACAAGATCCACATTATTTCCCACACCCGAGAGCCCCAAAGCTGGCGTGTCTACAGCTTTTAAAGCCGTCGCATAAGCATCATGCTTAACGATGAGCCAAGAGCGATTATAATGTATCTGCTGTGCGATAGATCCAAGTGTGCTTAAAGCAGAGAACTTTGCGAGGAATGTCACATCTATCTTGTTAGATGTATTGGTATAGGTTTTGATCAAGCAACTTACAGGTCCATCTTTCACCATAGGTCCATAGCATACAAATGAGTAAGGTGACCAAAATGAGGCATATAGATGAGTATGTCAGGACGGCAGCAGAAGCACCTATGGCCTCTTGCGGAATCCCGGTGCCCATTCAGTACTTTCAAAAGGGGAGTGATAGCAGGACTTGCATTTAAGTCAACATGGAGATAAATTCATGCCTATCAAGTATTCAGGCAATGATCTATTGATGCCAGAACAACAGATAGTAACATGAGCAAGATTGAGAAGAACGAAAACCCAAAAAGAACAAAAAATATGCTTTACTGAAAAGTCTGGACCTTACATATCGATCCGCATATAGGTTTGTAACATTTGTAGATCAGGCCGAAGGATGAATAAAACTGTCTATTCCTTGCAATGAGTCCCCTACCCATTGTAAGAACAAGGTATCTATACCTGTATCCCAATACCTTCCTTTCTTCCGTATCGAACATCCCAGCTTCTCTTGGCCAATACTATTCATAAGTACTCGTGCTGCCAGAAAGTATGCAACTCCAACGCTAGATGCACATACCACAAGATGGTAAACTACAAGAGGACTAACCTGGTTTTCATAGCGCCGGAGTTGCATACTTTCTGGCCGCACGAGTATTCAGTTAGAAAAGTCTTCTCCTATCCCAGAACCCGGGAACCTCACCAACTTAGGGAGAGTGTATATTCCATGTTCATTCTAGCAAACGTGAGAAACAAGGATGACACGAAGATTGCGGGATGGATCGAGAACAAGGGAGACAGGGGAAATAAGAAAATAGCTAGATGAGCTGACGAGACACAGTAATCTGCCAGCCGCAAGCTTTTCCGGAAGGATATATCTAGATGATCTACAGACTAACTAAATTTCGCGTATTTCTAAAAAAACGTGTAAACTGACCCCCATTGAACTTCTGAAGCCTGATGTGGTTTTGAAAGACGGCGCTTGCTCGGATGATTCTCTTGGTGACACGTTGCCTAGTGATTAGTGTAACCAAATATTCTGTGCGCAAATTTGAAGAAATTTCTAGGAGGTATTTTGACCTTTTATGAAATTTCCTTGCTAATGTCGGTAATGAATACATTGCAGGACATAGGTCTGTGTGCATCGATTGATTCAATGGTTGCAATGGTAAAAATCTACCACGGCAGATAGACATCTTCATAGACCCGAAGGAATGGATAAAATAAGAAAGAGCTTACGTGCCATCTGAATTTTAGGAAAGTGGTTCCGTGCCTATTTATCATAGAATTGTTGGACTTATATTAAGCGTAGAGTTTTCAACGAATTACATACCTCGACGTTAATACTTCCTCCATTAGCCATGCATAAAGTGTGTTGGGTAATCAATTGGGAACAACCTTTCTTCCTAATGCTTGTTACTTATGCAGGCTGTATAATGTCCACTTTAGTAGTTTGTACTGAGTAGCTTAAGGAACTGCAGTGGCAATGTGACATGTTGTCACCCATCATCTCCATACCCCTAAATTGACTCAATGGGGCTCCTGTGACGATTACTTGTCATGTTCAGGCGAACGTTAATATAACAGCACAGAAGAATGTCTGCAATGGCAAATCAACATCTTGTCCAGATTATCGTTACAGTCCAAGCTCTAAGGATACCAAGGATTTTCGTTGTGGAGAAGATACGCGACAAGATCAAGGAAGATCATTTGCTGGCTCTCTGGTATCGGGGACACCTGGGCCATACTCTAAATTGTAATACAACGTGACATGGTATACACTCTAGAGTTGGCAAGCGCAAAGTATCCTGTCGAGATTGTGTGTATGGGAGTTTGAATACTTCTTCGACAGCTCGGAAATTGGAACAAGCCATCAAGATAGAAGACGACGTGAAGTCCACGAAATTCTGCAATTATTTGCTTGCCTTGACGAATCGCGCGGCATACCGGATACCTCGGATATGGAGTCTAGATTGCCACACGATCGATATATTGATTCAGGATTCAGTAAGTATCGAAAAGGTTCAGCTCGGAATTGGCTCATATTGCGATTAGAAGAATGCATGAGAGACTCATAAAAGTTAAAACGAAGAGCTTTTGGAATAGAGGGAATGGATGGCATGATTTCTTGCGAGCCGTACGCCGGATTTGGGAAGGAAGTGGAATTCCTCAAGTTGGGAGCGACCCTGTTTGGGCGGAAATATATCCACCATAATGTACCTATTTAGTAAGCTCGAATATAGGATTAAGTATGTATATAACATCTTTCGCTTAGCCTTTCAGTTGATTGTTCTAGGAACTTACCTGTAGTGGACACTTAGTTCTCTAGTTCTTATAGCTTCTCTTTCAAACGCGTGTTGATGTTTCAGGGATCTCTTGAGCTGTGTTGAAATCGGCTTCAAATGAGCACCAGGTACCAACATTAAAACAAGAACAAAGGTTGAGACATCAAGTGGACTTTGCTATAATGAGGATCCTTCCGGACCTTAGGCTGGCCGGTGAGCTACCAATGCGGAGAAACACTCTCCGCTACGTTCGGACTCTTCTTTTCGATGGGTTCGTTGCTGGTAATTCTAAAATCTATGAGATTTCTCACCGCCACTGCATCATCGACCAGTTCAATTGTAAAGGAAGTTCTGAGCGTTAGAATTGGTTCCAATAGTATGCCCAACGTTCAAATTTTGCAAGTTTAAAGTCTGATCACCTAATATCCGAAGTATGAAACTTCGCGTGGCAAGCAATACCTAGGTATCGATGCAAATCCTCAGCCTCAGCCTTGCACGATTAGTCACTACGAGCTAAACCTTAACGAGTGTTGAGTCGCTTGCAACAGATCTGGTAGCCTTCCAAGATTAACCTCACAGCCTTACTACCTAGGTGGGCATAAACACCACTTGGAAACATACATGTTGAAGACCACAGAACTCTCGTTATGCAATCCCTCGTTTGGGCCTCTAATATACCGTTGTATATCACTCATCCTTCTTCTACAATACCTTATTTGATCAATATACCCCGAGTCTCTTATCTGCCGCTCCTTCTCCCGCGATTGCTCTCTTTCTTCGGGGAAAATGTTACAAGTTTTTCCTATGAAGGAATTCTATTGAAGAATCTACCAGTTGGTCTATTATGTGATCTATATCAACCAGAATTGCCATGGAGAATAGAGTTAGGAGATGGCCCATCTTTCGATATTCATGATACTTTTATCAATAGCGTCAAAGAAGTATCTACCCTCCCTCGAGTCATTTTCAGCCTCGTTTACTAACGATCTAAATTCAGGCCGATTTCATACGCAATGGAAATGCAAAGGGGATCATGAGCATGTCAAAAGAACATTCGACACAATTATGGAACTCAGTTCAAGATAGTATGATCCCTTTTTGGTCTACATTCATACAAACAACGACATAACATAAACTAATCTCATACAATCCCCAGATGATCTTCACACCTACCTCAAGATTTCCACCATCCTCCTCAACCCCGCTACTCCTCTAAAACATATTCCATTACGTATATACCTACCTTCATCCTCATCTCCATCTTCAACTCCTCATCCAGCTTCCTCGAGTTCATCAAAAGCTCCAGGTACTTCTTCTCCACCTACACCACTTTTCGCATTTAAAACGGTACAAACTCTCATACAACCACAAACTGCATCTCGTGAACCTCAAACATTGGGAGGGGCCCTCAATACTATTCTTCCGAGCTTATTTCCAAGTAGGAGAGATGCGATTTTAGCGGATGTCATCTTACATGGGGCAACAGTTCCGTTCAAGGCACCATTGGAGGATTTAATGAGGGAAGCGAGTTATGCGGATGGATGGTTAAATGTGTGTGTTGTTATGCTGAATTGATATTAGAAGTGATGATTATAATGATTACGATGACTTTATGAAGAGGATGAAATGGCGTTTTTGAATATTTTGGATTTCAGCTGGGGAAGATTGAGGCTGTAATTACAATCACCTAGTGGATAATTGATTGATGAAAACATTACAATGTCCGATCAACTTAAGGGTTAGTGACTGAAGACTTTTTATGGATTTGTTTCCTATATGATAGTTTCTCCAGCCAATGCAGAATTCGTTAATATAAGTATTTCTGGCTTGGTCACAATTCAACAAGTGTGGTTATTAAGCCATATCGAACTTCCATGTATCATTTTCATTGATTTAATGACCTACAATAGCACAATTCTCATTCGACGTCGACCAACTCAATCTATCATACCACATCATCTGCAGATTCTGACACAACGATCCTCAATTTCCTCACCAATAGCGAAAAGCTCTTCGACTAGGTGTTCTTCCCAAGAAAGGCTAGAGGGACATTTCGAACTTGGTTCATCACCAGACACCTCAGCGCTTAGGATGTTTGGATAACAGAGAGGAGATTATTCTTCTCGCTAGTGGTTTTATTGAACTTTATATGTGAGATTGGTATGCTGGTTTTGTTTGATGGTCGATGTTTGATGTTTGATGTTTGATGTTTGGGCGAAGATGGTTTCTTGGATATTTGTGGGGGGTAATTGTTATGTGTCGTGTCTTTATTCACTGCATAGTAGGTTTTATTCTATCGGTGGTGGGCTCTTTTAGGAGAAATGAGAAATGGGTTGTGTGTATGTTATATATAGATTGTAAGTGGTTGTTCGTGTTGATGTACAGTGGTGTTTTATGGATTGAGGATTAGTGGATCATTGCTCGAGATGGATGGGTAGAAGGTTTACGTATCTTTCTGACTGTTTTTTGTATCGAAGGTTGTATATATTTTTTTCTTTCATTTTCTTACAGAGTACAGAGTACAGCGGACTTGAAGTTGGGAGGTTGATGACAATGACGAGGAGAAGTTTGAGGCATTTCGAACGATTTTGTTTTTCCCTCTGGATACCTAGGTATGCATGGTGTTGAGGTTTAAGAAGGGTTTTGTGGTTGTATTTTTTTAATTTTTAATTTTTGTATATTTTGTATTTTGTCGTACTGGAACTTGGCGGAAGAATAAAGGATGAAAGGGGTTGGAGATGGGTTTGAAGAGAATATGGAGTATTTCACTCTGTCATCGTATATAGAGGACTTTGGGAATCTGGGAACTGGGGAACTCGGGAGAGAAGTTTACGAGGAAATGCAGGGAGAAGAAGGGGTGGGAAGGATTGAGGATTGATAGAGCTTGCTTGAGATGTGGAGAATAGTTTTTCTTTCTGTTTTCTTTTCTTTTCTATATGAAATATGAATAAATAGTGCGGCTGCAGTGTTAAATGTGGTTGTGGTTGTGGTTGTGGTTGTCTAAGTGTGTAATGGGATGGAGATTTTTTTTTTTTTTTTTCGTTCTTATAGTAGATAGGCAGAGTGAGAGTGACTGACTGAGTGAAGAAAGAGAGAGTTGGAGATTAGATGAGATTCGAGTAGAGTAGAGTAGAATAGAATAGAGTCACACCGGAATCTGCTCTTAATATATCTTGCGCTTTTAGTCGGCGATGTGCTATTAGTAGGTAGGTAGGTATTTGTAGAAAAGTTGTTGGGTTTTTATTTTTGTGTGTAGGTAGGTTGTATATAGCTTTAATATTTTTTATTTTTTTTGATGTAAGAATTTTAATATCTTTATAGATATTAAATGGATATTAAA